GCAAATTAATTTAATGTGTTCACAGATTTTTGTTTTATTTGTGGAATGTATTTGTGTATTTGCAGATCCGTTTTATACTTGCAAAATATTTTTGTGAGTTTACAAATCTTTTTTTGTATTTGTGAAAGGTGTTTTATATTTACAGATTACACATTTACACACAGATTGTCAATCTGTTCACACACATAATTATGAAACAAATCTATCTCCATAAGTACTTTACACGCAGCCCCCATGATAAATTCTTTAAGCTTAGCCTACCTAAAATGTGACACACTATCATATTTATTTCTAAAGGCCCTGACACCAAGCCAACGAGAAAGTTGGGCCGTCGGTGAGCGTCTGTCACTAGTTTTTGCGGTGTGTCCTGCACCTTCAGCACTTCGGCGTCGGCGGCTTTTTGGCCGACTGAGCATGTTGAATCGGAGGCAGAGCTTGTTGGTGAAAGAGATCACTCTGATTGGCTGTTCAGGTTTTATTTCCTTGCCCCTGTAGCGAGTGAATTTGCCTGTAGTAAAACCGGGGCTAACCGGTGCTTGCGGGAAGAAGCAGTGGGTCTGTCGGGCAGCTGAGTGAAGTGGAGCCTGAGGAGGAAACACTGGGACCGTCTGGATGTAATAGTCCGTGGAGGTGCTGTGGTGCTCGACTGCACAGATAGGAAACCCCTCGGCTAACAAGATGTACCACTCTCTCACTCCACTACTTCATTTATCTCTTGCATTCCTAGTACTTCGGGTTTCCCTTTTTGTATTATTCCCTCTCACGCAGGCGCAGAATGTATGTGCTACTTGGCCATCGGATGGAGTCTTTGTAGTGTGGTCAAATGCAACTGACACAGGGCGATGTGAGGTGCCGTAGACGACACAACAGTTGGCTTTTGTCGCTGCTAGTTCTTTGATGTCGGTTTGGTGTGTCAGCACCTTAAGGCATCATCTTACAGAATAACATGGATGGTCATATTAATGTGTATGTGTTCTGAAAATAATGAATAAAACTTTTCTCAAGAATCCTGATGTTTTTTTGTTAAGGAACTAATTGTAAAGATGATGATGAAGTAATGAAAGACTACTCATTATGTGTCACTTTACTTTAGGACATAAAAGGTTAACTAATGGACAGGTCATTGAGTAATGATTCTGTACTGATGAAATAAATAGTTCACTAATCATTAAGTCATGATTAACTCCTCTATAACTAATAGTTAGTTCCTCATTAGTTCCTCAGTAACTACTCCCCTGAAATTTGACCAGGGGTTACTGAAGAACTGACCATTAACTAATAGTTAGTTCCTCATTAGTTCCTCAGTAACTACTCTAATTTTGTGTAGCTTAGTTCCTCAGTAACTACTCATTCGTTCCTCATTAATTCCTCATTAGTTCCTCAGTAACTACTCATTAGTTCCTCATTAGTTCCTCAGTAACTACTCTAATTTTGTGTACCTTAGTTCCTCAGTAACTACTCATTAGTTCCTCAGTAACTACTCTAATTTTGTGTACCTTATTGTAAAGTGTTACCGAGTGTTCTTTGGGAAGCTTCACTTATTGTCCATTCCATGGCAACACCACTGTAGATGATATGATCACAGGCATGGACCCCTACTATTTCAGTGCATTCACAGTCAAGCCCTTAAACAGAACAATATCACACACAAAACCTAACAAGCTATTCAACATACCAAAGTTGTACAGATGCGCCCCAGACAGCACTAAGAAATGCCAAGAGGCAAGCAAAATAAATGGAAGCTACAGCCATTTTCAAAATTCATACGTTATTCGTATTGTCTTATACAGTCCAAAAATATGTGTAAACATGAACAACTCTCTCCCAAGTCCTAAACCTAGTTAGGTATAAAAAGGAGAACAAGTCTCAGACTTAACTCTCTGGTTTAAAGTGATAGTTCAGGTTTTTGGACATGAAGTTGTGTGAAAAGCTGACCATCTGTAGCTCTGATGTGACAGTGTCACTACTCTCAGCGAGCTTCCTGCTCTGAGAATTCTTCATCTTCATCTTCATCGGCTGTTTCCAACAGAGAACCAGTAGGCTATTATTAGTGAGGAAAAAGATGGACTAGCCCTATATATACCTACTACTACAGCGCAAACACCGGCTCAGGCTCACAACACACCCTCTTCAGCTGCTGTAGGTAAACAGAGGAATACCAAAATGGTGCGAACTTGTGATTTCCCCAGCTGTGGGAATAAAAACATCGCCGGCTCCCAATTCCATCGGTTTCCTGTTACAGATGTAACCCGTAGGCAACTTTGGCTAACCCACCACCAGAACAAAGCAGAGACTTGTCGTAATCACATATGAATTCACATTTCTATGTGATTGATTACTCATGTCACGGATTTAGCAGTTAGCCTAATATAATAAACTAAATGCCGACGGTAAAACGAGGCCACGTATAATACTCTCCACAACACAACAGGCTATTAGTTCAATCAAACATTTTGTTTTACAGACAATCAGTTACAGACATCGTTATATAGAGTGGTATTAAGTAATATATCTCTCTTTGTGCACAGCAGTGCGGAAATTGCGTTTTCTCTGTCCGTCGGGATCTGTGGGCAGCTGAAGTGAGCCTGACATACGCACAGTTGCTTCACCCTCGCCGGCGTGGTAGCGAGGTTCATCCCAATTGACACAAGTCAAAGTTGCCTACGGGTTACATCTGTAACAGGAAACCGATGGAATTGGGAGCCGGCAATGTTTTTATTCCCACAGCTGTTCGCACCATTTTGGTATTCCTCTGTTTACCTACAGCAGCTGACGAGGGTGTGTCGTGAGCCTGCGCTATAGTCGTTGGCATATATAGGGCTAGTACATCTACTTCCTCACTAATAATAGCCTGCTGGTTCTCTGTGGGAAACAGCCGATGGAGTTTTCCTGCGCACCTGCACGGCGTGGTGATGAACTGTCTTATTGATTTCTGTTGCCGTGCTGTCTTGCGGGCCTGAACAGTGGAGTGATACTGGCCAGAAAATAGTCCCAATTGATAGCAAGTTCTGACTTAATGCGGGGATGTTTTAAAATTATTGAAATAGTCTAACAAAACACATGCATACTTTTTTGTAGCTTAAAACCTTTTGGTTACGTGTCACCAGTACATCTTCAGAACTACTTTTTCTCCGGTAAGCTACGGGCGATTTCTCAGAGCAGGAGGCTTGTTGAGAGTAGTGACACCGTCACATCAGAGCTACAGATGGTCAGCGTTTCACACAACTTCATGTCCAAAAACCTGCACTATCACTTTAAGAGAGAGTGTAGCTCATATTCACTAATACTAATTGACCTCAGTTGATGCTCAGAGTGAACATATTCAGAGTTGGCTGAACTGACTCTGGAACTGAACTGTTCTGGAACTGTTCTGGAACTGTTTTACAACTCTTGAGTTGTCTATCTCAGACCTCAGGGTTAGACACATTTATTTGTTCATTCATTTTCCATAACCGTGTATCCTCTTGAGGGTAGCGAGGGGCTGGAACCCATCCCAGGTGACACTGGGCAAGAGGCAGGGTACACCCTGGACAAGTAGCCAGGCTATTGCAGGCCTGACATATAGAGACAAACAACCATTCACACTCACATTCACACCTACGGGCAATTTTAGAGTCACCAATTATCCTAACCTGCATGTCTTTGGACTGTGGAGGGAAGCCAGAGTACCCGGAAAAAACTCATGCTGACATGGGGAGATAATGCAAATTCTGCATGGGTTAAACTCAGAGTTTATTAAAACTGCTCTCTGAAACAGGCCCCAGGTTTAACTTGATCTGACTAGTGTGGCTGGGGGACACTCAATGCGTTTACATGACATAAGAGAAATTAAATTTATAGTTTTATTCCGACTAAAACCAGACTATTGAAATACATGTAAACATGTTAGACCAACTGAAATTGAATCTCTCAAAGTTGGACTAACACAACCAGATAATGCAAATGGGAGCTAAATTCTTCTTCTTCTTCTTTCGGCTGTCCCCTTTAGGGGTCGCCACAGTGAATCATCTGCATCCATCTAACCCTATCCTCTGCATCCTCTTCTCTCACACCAACTGACTTCATGTCCTCTTTCACTACATCCATAAATCTCCTCTTTGGTCTTCCTCTAGGCCTATTGCCTGGCAGTTCCAACCTCAGCATCCTTCTACCGATATATTCACTATCCCTCCTCTGAACATGTCCAAACCATCTCAGTCTGAGCTCTCTGACTTTATCTCCAAAATATCTAACATGAGCTGTCCCTCTGATGTACTCATTCCTGATCCATCTATCCTCGTCACTCCCAAAGAGAACCTCAACATCTTCATCTCTGCTACCTCCAGCTCTGCCTCCTGTCTTTTCCTCACCGCCACTGTCTCTAGACCAAACAACATTGCTGGTCTCACCACCGTCTTGTACACCTTTCCTTTTAATCTTGCTGGTACTCTTCTATCACACATCATACCTGACACTTTTCTACACCCATTCCAACCTGCTTGCACACGTTAAGTGGGAGCTAAATTGTTTGGTCTGTGATGTAATAGGTCAACACGAAAAAAGGTCCAATAATAACAAGCTGAAAGGGAGCATGTCGCTACTTATCGTAGTGCAGTCAAACATACTTCGGTCAATGAATCAAGTCCTTTCCCATGCTTGTACACTGGGACAAGGACAGTAGTCCAGTTAAATAGCCTAGTTGAGCTACAACTGTAGCTCCATTTAACTGTGCATGTAAACACACTGAGTATTTTCCTCTAGAAAGGCATGCATTACTAATGCACCACTGATTTTCAGAGTACTGACTGAAAAGATAGAGGCCAATAGTTGTTTAGGTCACATGTGTCACCACCTTTGTGTAACAGAAATAGCAGAGCTCTTTTCTTTAGTTGGGGCACATTGCCAGAGGTCAATGTTCAGGTAAAATGTAATTAATACAGGAAACAAATCTACAGAATGTACAATTACAACTTCATGAGATTTAAGTGTGTTGACTAAACTTTGTTAGATAAAGAGTGTACCTGTGTATTTGTTGGGTGCTGGGGGCCTGCTGATGTTCCACTCCACAGACCCCCTGCTGTGCAGGGAGCCAATGATCTGCTGAGCCAGCTGAGAGGACGGATCTGAGCTAGGCAGCTGGCTCTGAGCATCCAGATGTTGGTGATTGTAGGGGTAATGGAGGGTCAGGTTGTAAGTGGGGCCGCAAGTCACCTGGCCTGCTTCGGGGCTCAAACTGGAGCTCCTTTCCCTGCATGTGGTCAGGGGGTATGGGGATCTCTCCTTCCACGGCCCCCTTTGTGGGGAGCAGCTCAAGCATCCTGGTTGGAGAAGGCCAGCGGGCTGCTGTTATGCATAAACAAACACACAACAGCATAGAGTGGGTTACTGAAAACACAGAAATATATATGTGTTTGTAGCACTTAGCTTAATCCTCAAGATCTGAACGACATTCTTAAGATGATATTATTTTCCTTAAGATTGGCAACACAATATTTTTTTATCATAACTGTGAAAAAAATCACCTTTTGTCTACCAAGTGGAGGTCCCACCTCAGGATAGGGAGCTGCTCTGAGTTTGGTCCTCATCTTGACTGCTTTGGTTCTGAGTTGTTTGCGGTGGTCCTGAGAGGAAGAAGGACTGAGACCAGATTTAGCAGCTCGACTCTGGTCTTCAGACAACTGCAGCTCCTTGCACTCGATGTCACTGTGCATAAACAGACAGGCACTGTGTATCTTTGCACTGGTTTAACTGGAGGTTTTACAAGGAGTATAACATGGGAAAGGTGCCTACTCACGTGAGGACGTAGTTCACACTGACAATACAGTGAGGTCTGGAGGAGCGGCTGTTATGGACAATGGTGGCGTAGCTCTGCACCCACACCCAGCCTCCATGTTTTGATAACATACGATAGTACTTAGTGGTTACCTGCCCCTTCACCAATACTAGAGGGAACACAAAGATCAGGATCAAAGAGACAGAATCACACAGCAAGGGCATCTTTTTATAATCAGCACTGTGCATTAGTCATTCAAAGAAATAGAAGAAACCTTTCTCAGTTGACAGTAACTTAATGCCTGTGTTACACTGGAATCTGTAACCCATCAGATTCTGTGACCCAGTACCAGACTCACTTTAAAAAGCATTGAGTTTTGTGAGTTGTTAAGTGGTTAGGTTTGGGTTAGGGGTTATGGAATCTGACAGGTCAGAATTCAATGCAACACCTGCGACAACCATTTTTTGTTTTGTTTGTTTTTCTGGCTACTTGGGGGCAGCAGAAACAAGCTGTGAGCATGACATTAACATATGATTATTATTTTGGTTTATTTGGTGAACTTCTTAGCAAACAGTTTAGTAGTTGTGGTAGTTGCCCAGTTGTTACTGAGTAGCATTATCATCAATTTTGTTTCTGGTCATCTGGCTAGCATTTATTCAATTTTAGCTCTTATTTTGTTTCTACTGACTGCTCCAGGAAATATCTATCTCTTTAGCTGCTAAATGCTCCACCATGTTCACTAGCTAGTCTCTTAATGTGTCTGCTGTTTGGTGCTGAGCAGGTTGCTTTTTATGGCTTAAAACAACACGAGAGAGATGACAGTAAATTAAGACAGTATAGATTTGGATCAAAAAGCTAAACAGTGAGCCCCATTGTTTTATTGAATATTGACTATAGTCACTTTAGTAGACCACAATGCGATGCAGACAAGATTCACAGTTTTAAGTATAAAATATTGCAGTCATTGACATGTAATATAGTGAAGGAACCATCTTTTACTGAGTTTACACTGTAGAATTTTAGACCTGACTTTCCACTTGCCGACAGCTGTTGGAGACAAAGGCCAAATTGGCTATCACTTCTGTGAACAACGATCTCTGTGTGTGAATCTTCAAAGGAACAATCTGAGAGATGTGCCGATGCATTGCAGACAACTGAGATAATTTACCAGGTCAAATATCTGGACCTGTCTGCAAGTCTAAATCCTGCAGTGTGAAATTTGTTATGACTGGCAATTTCAGCAGCGATCACCTAAACCAGTGAAAGTGCAAGATACAAAATGAAAGAAATATTGGAGAAGTTGCAACGCCTCCAGCAGAACATTGCCAAGCAGAACAGACAATCCTTGTATCCCATGTCTCTTCAACCATTCTCCCTCCATATTCCTTTCTTGTTCTTCTTTGGTTTTTAGCTGCAAATCAGCACACAAAGCTTGGATCGCTAGCTTCTTGGGGACATCCAATTTTGGAGGAAAGAACTCTTCTCTTGTGTGGTCTTGAATCCTCTCCTGTATCACTTGTTGTGTGTATTAAACCGGAGAAACTGGTCAGGGATTCTCCCTAGTGAAATGTCTTGTCAGGTGTGACCCCCTGTCACCGATCACTCATATAATATGCAAATCACAACAAATTCAAGGTACCCCATTATAGAGAGACAGTTGTGTAATGTGATCAGTACAGCAATCTGACAACTTTGAAAGTCATATAATGTGTCAATGCCATAAGCTATTTTGGCACCATTTTTTACCTACAAAACTTACTTTCCTTTTCCAGAACTCTGTGTTTGGGCATCTTGCAAATTTACTTTGTCTGACATGACTTCAGTCAGTCCCTAGCATTCATACTGTTGCCTGCCCTGTTTTCCCTGCAATAAACTATCTCTCTTGTTATTTCATATCTAGCCATTTCCTCATGCCCTGCAGGAGCCTTTTTACCACCATTCCCATCACTTAGCCATTCCTGCCCACCTTCTCACCTGTTCCCCATTTCCTACATTAGTCTTGCAGTATATACAAATACCAGCTCATTCCCTCTGTCTTCACCAGCCTTTGTCCTGTCTGTCTGATTCTACCTGCTTGACACACTGCCTGCTCCAGGGATTGTTGAGTCTCACCCTATCCCCTTTCTGTAAAGGTTGCCGGTTTGACAGCCTACCTGGTTTTGACCTTTGCCTATTTTTTGTTGAGGTAAAATTATCTTAACCTATGAGTTGTGCTGTTGGGTTTAAGCTTGCTCTGAGCCATTGCAGTACAATCTGGCCAAAACGAACCCAGAACTGTCAACACAGGTGAGGGCTATCCACTGCTGAGAGCAGCAACTGACCTCACAAGGAATTAGAGATATCTGCTCGCCACAAGCAGGTTGTTGAATTCATCTGTGAGAAAGATTCGGTGACAGCACAGGCCCTGTTGGTAGTTCCTCCATTCGAACTTTGTAAGTATTTGATTATGCTACCCCGGGAAGAGCAGCAGTTATAGGTATGTTCAGCCTGCTTCAAGAAGGGGGAAAGGGTGGCCGAATACTCAACTGAATTCAAAACCATTGCTGGTGAAATAGGTGATATTCTCTTTCTCTCTAATCTCTAATGTCTCTCCAATATAATGATGAACTGGCGGCCTGTGATCCTCCCTCAGATCTGGATGTTCTGATTACCCTTGCCATCCACATTGATAGTTGTCTCGAGGAATGAAGGACAAAAGAGCTCTTTCTGTCAGCCCCCGAGGTCCTCTATGCTTCCTACCGGATAGGTAGGAAGCACTACTACCTATTCGGCTTCACTCCTGCCTTGATTTGACAACTGAGGTCACAGATTAAGAGCTCACAGTTAAGACCAGATGTCTCTCTCACACTCATCTCTTTCTGCCTTTGAACTGCTGCAAGGGGCTACCATATTTTCCAAGTTTGTCCTCAGAAATGCATATCACCTCATGTGTGTCAGGGAGGAGTGTGAATGAAAGACTGCATTTATCACATCCAGTGGACATTATGAGTACCTGGTCATACCTTTTGGTCGAACAAAAGCCGATGCCGTTTTCAAGGCTTTTCTGAATGACGTCCTCAGAGACCAGTGTAATTCCTGTGTTTGTCTTTCTCTATGATATTCTCATGTTATTTAAGTCCAAGCAGAAGCATGCACAGCATGTGAGGTGCATTCTCCAGAAGCTTGTGGAGAGGCAAAGAAATGGGAACATTCTTGAAGTTGTTATTCCTGGGGTTTGTTGTCAAAGCAGGGAGCATCCAGAGGAATCCTGCTAAGGTCAAGGTCTCGAAATGGCCCATCCCCTACTTTTACAAGGAACTGCAGTATTTCTTGGGCTTCATTAACTTTTACTGGTGGTTTCTCAGGAAGTACAGCTCAGTGGCAGCTCCTCCCATGGCTCTAATCAACTTCTCACTCTCATTTCCCCTATGGACCAACAGTGTTAGATGTGCAGCCCTCTTTCGCCAGTTTCAGTCTCAAAAATTCTCTTGTACGACATGAGGAGATTCTCCTCTCCACCTACTTTGTTGATGCCATCAACTGAGTAATAGAGGACAAGGTAAAACAAGCTCAGTCTGGGTTTCTAGCTCCCAGAGCCTGTCCCTGTTTACGCCTGCTAGCCTCTGCTCCCAGGTTCTGCAGTGGAATCATTCCTCTCAACTGGCCTGCCATGCTGGTGTCAAACCCACCCTGGCTCTCCAGTGTCAGTGTTTCTGGTGGGCCTCTATGGAGCACAACACCAGGGAGTTTGGTGCTGCTTGTCTGATCTGCTCTCAGCTTAAAAAGCCCCACCTGTCTACTGCAACTGCTTCCAGTTCCCATCTCTGTGACTTTGTCACATTCCCTGCACCTGATGATAACCCTATCATTCTCACTGATGTTGACTAGTTTACCAAGTCTGCCAAGTTCCTTTCCTTGCCTAAATTACCTGAAGCCAGGGAAAAAGCTGAACTTACATTAAATCATGTCTTTAACCTACATGATGTCCTCTGGGACATTGGCTCTGACTGGGGATTGCAAGGCACATTTTGGTTTTTGAAAAAGTAGGCTCCTGGAACCCCTTTTTCTGGGTTTCTAGGCAACTGCCTTTGGTAGAGTATGACCGTAACACTTGGCCCAGCTACCCAGCTGCTATCAGACACTCCCCCTTCCAGTGCCCACAGGATTATCAGCGTCCCCTCTTTCCTGATCAGGAATGTGAGGCGAGCATCCCTGCAGTCCAGGCTTCTATTCATTGCTATCGTTGCAACTGAATGCAGGCCCTTTCCACTGTTCTTCGTACCTTTGACTGTTACCAGAAGATTGCTGCAGCAGAACATCTGGTTATCCTTGCAGGACTTACTCACTCAGAGTGAAGTCCAGGAAGTTGGCTCCATGGTTCATAGGTTCATTCCTCACCTCCAGGGTCATCAACCCAGTTGCAGTCTACCTCCATCTTCCTCACCCCATGAGGACCCACTTGACCTTCCACATGTCCCCGTTCAAGCCAGGCCAGAAGAGCTTGCTTCATTCATTCATCCCTTTTTCCACCATATCCATCACCTGACCCTACCCCCTCACCTGTGCCCTATTTCCCTCCTCAGTCTTGTATTACATATACCAGCCCATTTTGACCCTGTCTTTGCCAGAGTTAGCATCTGCCCCAGCTTTCCAGCCTTTGTTCTGCCTGCCAAATCCACATGGTCAATACTACATGGACTGCACTTGTATAGTGCCTGTCTAGTCTTCTGACCTCTCAAAGTGCTTTTACATTACTTGTCACAGTCCCCTGCTCTGGTGGCCAAGACTACCATACAAGGTCAATCAATCAATCAATTTTATTTATAAAGCCCAATATCACAAATCACAATTTGCCTCACAGGGCTTTACAGCATACGACATCCCTCTGTCCTTTGGACCCTCCACCTGCCACCTGCTACTCAGTTAAACATTCACACAAACTCATACACCTCTGGCACAGCCATCGGTATATATACTCTTACCTGAGGATACTTAGACATGCAGACTGGAGGAGCCGGGGATCGAGCTGCTTTTTTTTTTTATTAGTGGATGACCTGCCCTACCTCTGAGCCACAATTGCCCCTTTCTGGATAAGTTTGCCTGTTCTGACTTGGGTCAGCTGCTGGCATAAACACTCCATGTGGTTGTTTAGGGCCACAACTGCAAGGGGGTCACATGATTATTGTAACTTTTTTTGCTGCTCACTCAACACACTTTGTACGGTGTAACATTGGGTCTAGGCGGAAACACCGTGATGTGCTGCCTGCTTTTTTTAGTGCCCATGTTAACCACCTGTGCTGTTCACACAGGATAGCGAAAGTTTTGGTATTTGCTCTTTTATCTCTGTGATCTAAGGATAACACACTAATAATCTACTGTCAATTGTGTAAAGGATATATTACATATGATATAAATGATCTGATTCTGATAAATAATCATTTATGCATCCCATGCTTACCAACCTATTTCTGCCCCTCTCCCTGCTTTTCTCCTGGAGTTTTAATTCCCCCAATTTTTATTCCCCATATGATAAAAATGCAAAATCCCCATTCACTAAGTCTTGTGTCACTGCTGTTGGTGATTTGTGTTTTTTTTTAATAACTTACTTATTCCATTAGTTGTGTCTAAACAGAGTGAGAGAGATGAGCATTCACACACATGCACATTCACACACAAGAAGACAGACAGACAAAATATTAGCTATATGGGTGATTAGAAAACAGCCAAGGAACATAATCTCTTGTTTTAACTCTATTCATTCTAAACTGTTTCGATAGGCTAAAACTTGTTTTTGTTATAAGGAAACTAAACATGATACTGATATCTACTATTACAGATATTATAATACTCCCCTGTGTCTGACTAAGTATTTCAAGGACTCACATAAATGGTGAGCATAGCGTAGATGGAAAACGTCACAGGCATGAACGTGGTGGTAGAGAGTCTTCTCTATCAGGTCCTGAGGCTCATAGCCTGTCAGCTCTGCCACCCTGGCTCCAGAACACAAGAGAGAGGGCACAAGCTAACAGTCAGAGGGGCTGACATCAGTGTGGTCAAGTGCATCATAGTTTAGTTAACAATCTAGTGGTACACATATTTTAAAACAGCTAACTATTAGCTATTGTACACATAATTCTATATTCTTATAACATTTTATAATCTTATCTTCTTATCTAATCTTATCTTCTGCATGTATTGTACCAAGAGTGTATTTGTAATTACAATTTTTTTTTTCTTTTGATCATTTGTGATCATATTTATGATTTTATAGCAATCAAGATGATATCATGGCTTTCATCTTTCTTTCCACCTGTTCAGTCAAGCATCTCTCCTACCTTGTGTCCAAGAAAATGAGTTTTAAGTCCAGGCTGGCCCGGAACATGAACATGTTGCTGTGGAGTTTGATCTCGGTGATACCACTGGGGGGCAAGGAGTGACCAACTGCTACCAAGCCTACAGTCTGATAACTGGATTCATACAGCACCATGTCCACCATGTACTGACGCACTTTCAGGTAGCCGCTGCAGTGGATGACCTGGGAACCGACAACATGACACTAATGTCATCATATGTGGACACATTCAAAGGAATTGGAAGAGACAAAAAGTTGAAAAGGTTTAAACTACAGCTGACAAATGATTAATTTTTTTTTAATCCCAATTATTCACTAAATTTCAGCATGTTTGTGTTGCTCTGCAGTTACACCTTCTAAACACTGATTGGCAGTGGGGGTTTCTGTGAAGTGCTGTCAAGTCTGACTGTCTCAAAACACATCTAAAACACACATTCCACATAGCTTAATAGAGACACTTTCAAACAAAGTACATAAATTGGCTTTATTATAACTTGGAGGATTCACAGAACAAAGCACTTGACACATTTTCCCCCAAAATACAACTTGCTAACGTTATTAGCACAAGCCTATTGCATTTTGCATTGTATTAAACTGGCATATTTAGCAAGGGCTGTAGTTAACTTCTTTGATTGAGTTTCATCCACAGGTCTGTGGCTATTCACTCACTCCAAAATAGTGCTTTGCCAGCTTTGCCAATGTAGTTGCCCACTGACATCAATCTGATTAGTAACACCTGTGTGCTCCGTTTATGGGTGGTATACTCAAAGTACTATGTTGATATTGTAATTTCGTTTGACACAAGGTGCATATTACTTTTGACTTGTCAACTGAGCCGCCTGGGAGTTTTTTTTTAACATTAAAGGAGTCATTCAAGAATGCAGGGGTGTCTGATTCTCCCTCACTGCTGCAGCAGGAAGCGAGGAGCCACTGCTGCAGCTTTACTACAATTAAGGGTGCATTGAGTAGAGAAGACAAAATAGAAGCGATTAAAAAACATAAAGCACCTTGTCCAGACTGGGAATTGATCTATAGTTGCTCTGTGGTCTCTATACTACTGTGTGACTGCTACTGCTTTATGATTATGATTATTATTGTTATGATGATGATGATTATTATTCATTCATTCATTCATCTTCTAACTGCTTCATCCAGGGCTAGAGCCTATCAATTAGAGTTATCAATTAACCTAGTCCCCAATCTGCATGTCTTTGGACTGTGGGAGGAAGCCGGAGTGCCCGGAGAGAACCCACGCTGACACGGGGAGAACATGCAAACTCCGCACAGAAGGGCTCCCACGCCCGGGATCGAACCGGCAACCCTCTTGCTGTGAGGCGAGAGTGCTAACCACCACACCACCGTGCCGCCCATGATGATGATGATGATGATTATTATTATTATTATTATTATTGTACAATCATCACAGTCTCATTTACCAAACTCAGGTATTTGAACTTTTGTCACCCAAATGCCCATTAAACACAGTTTCTGCTGTAGTGTAGTTTTGCTGTCCATGCTGGCAGCATCACGGCACACTTAACCTGACCTTCCAACCAAAACTAGTCATCTCTTTGCAACAGGTCCAAGGTTTATTTTGTAGTTGTTTTTCCTGTCATAATATGAAAAGCAGAAAGACATTTACATTCTCTTTTCTCATGATTGTGTGCTCATCAGATATGTCAGCATCTTTTTAAAGGGTGTATAAGATAATGGGCCATGCTTAGGCTAGGACAGCTGTGCAGCTACTGTTTTTTTGTGTTGGACAGCAAAAGCCCATGATGGGGAGCTGAGCCTATGTATGTAATTACCAGATGGGAGTATGACTTATCCCTAACAGCCCTAATCTTTGGTATATGCAACTAACAAAATGCATCACGCTTGTGCTGGTAATGACCATGAGGGGCTGTATTCAATGAGTAGACAAAGATCTAACAGTTTTTATTAAGGGGCAACTGAATATTCCCGAATGTCCAAAATTTGATGCCATGACCAATACACAGTTACATGTTTATGCATCACTTTATTGGACCTCTAAGTTACCATAAATTAAGTTATTGTGTGTGTTGGAGTAAATGATAAACCAGCAGCTGCACCTACCTTATATCCCCCACATGTGAGTCCTGCATTTCGTTTAGCAAGAACACACTTCATCCTCAAGAAGAAGGAGCGCTCTATTTCATACTCTGCCACACAAACACACATTACGGAGACATTACTTGCATGTTATAGTATACTCTGGTTTTAAAATACAATATCCCAGTGCTGTTGTTACCAGTGACACTTCTTACACCTGGGATTATCTAAAATTGCCATTTTGCCATTTTTTTCAGACCAGTTACCTTAGTGGTAACCTGTAGTAAGACAGCCTGACAGAGACACCTGGATTACCTCTGCTTATCCTGCTGCCAACACAAACCTAAACTAAGTTATTAGCTCAAACACTGTATTCAGTGCAGCACAGCACAGTCTGTCTTCTGGAATACAGCCTAAAAAGGGGAGTCAACGATTCTGTTAAAAGATTGTTAAAATATTTGAACTTAACACCCAAACAAATACAAACAAACAGATTTATCATTCCTCTTGCTCCCACTGTCTTTCTCTATATACATCCACGTTCCCTGTTGCTGATTGGCTAGAATAGTGTTGTCTGGCTCAGTCTAAGCCACTTTATTTGTTTCCCATTTACAGAACTAGGGCTATGTAGGAATTAGACCTGACTACAATTGGAATATGTAGGATTTTTTTTTCAGTGCACACAGAATGGATAGCTAGTAGACTGTGAGGAGATATTTGCTGATTTGACCAATGTTGGTTTAGAATCACTGACTGCACCTTTAATGCTATAAAAGCTATATGACTGATGTAGCTATGTAGATAAAACCTGGTCTCACTCCAAAGTTGTTGAAAACTGGCGCTTGGTCAGTGACTTCTGGCATCAGACACCAACAAAAAAAGCTATCCTTTCCAGTCGGCATGGCACATAGCCTGCCATGGCGTCAGGGGGAAACGCAGCCGGACAACAACAAAAATCAAGGTGGCGAGAGTCCAAGTGGGGCAGGGCAGGAGGTGTGGTGGATGGTCCAACAACAACCGACTTTCACCCAGTAGGGCAGTGTTTGCTTCCCGTGTGATTGCAAAGCCAAACCCTGTGCTTTTGTCCTAAACCCAGTCACATGCATTTGTTGCCTAAACTCAATCATGTGCGTGCTTGGCTAAACGTAATCACATGTGTTTGTTGTTGAAGGGAAAAAAAACATAAATTCACAGTGTTGTGCTGATGTAGTCTGTTTATTTTGAAAGAGACTGTCTGCAAACTGTACATTTCCTGTGAAAACGAACTGTATTTTGAAAACAGACAGTGTATGTAACAGATTGAAATTGACATGACGTCCCGGAACGCCAACAACCAACGCACCCAGGGTACCTTACGCGTCATATCTCAATGTGGAAAGTCCATGACCAAATGTCGATGTGCGACGAGGGTGGAGTGAGAATATGTTGGATTGTACATTGTGTATTTCAGGACCTTAACATCTGTGCCCTTAAAACTAATTTAGCAGACACTTCTGTCTAAAGCAATGTACAAATGAGATAAAATACAAGCCGCAAACACACATGTAAGGCTGCACAGTCCACATTATAATTAAAGACCATTATCTGTCTACTAATCCTAGTGGGGTCTAATCTAATGGGGTAGGCTAGCGATTCTCAGTGTCACATTGAGACATATATATATATATATATATATATACACACACACACATAGTGATAATAGCTGACCAACAGACTTAACATAATCTCTCCTGAGAAACCATTAACTAACATGTTTTCATAAGAAATAAGTATGATGACCAAACTACACTAAATACACATATTTTGGTTTGCATTAGCCAGGAAACATGGGAAATTAGACAGACAAAGGTCTGCAAGCCTTTTTCAAATAATGGTTCTTTATGCCATTAAGATAAATATACATATATATATATATATACCATCACATGTGCAAGAGAGCCTGGTAATTTAGAATCCTTAAGTACCTGGAGAGAAGTGATGGTGTGGGGGCTGGCAAAGACCCAGCACTGCTGTCATCTCATCATGGTCTGATGGATGGATGTACTCAAATATACTGTTTCCTGTTAGCTCCACCTGTAGCACACACATTTCCAGCATGTGCTCATGAATTTGTTGACACCAGCTACATCACAACTAACTAACCAAAATATGAGACAAAACATAGACATGTAGACTACTGAATCCAGGCAGTAATGAAAGACTTTTCTTCAATGGGCCTCAGAGCTCAACATGCTGCACATTAAGAAAAGAGCAAATGAAGAAACATCTTCATAAACAGAAAACATTCCCCAACTTGACAACACACCAAATCATATTTTACTGAGACATAAAAACATCAATTTTCATCCTTCTTGTTAGGAGGGGATTTCAACAGTATTCTGGGTGGCTTTATAGACAAACTACCACCTTCTCAACAAAATAGAACAGATTCATACTTAACTGACTTTATAAGAAGATTTAATCTAGTAGATATATGGAGAGAGAAGAACCCTAATAGTAGATTGTATACCTGGAGCAATAAAACTGGCTCTAGGCAATCACAATTAGACTATTGGCTAATATCTGATAGTTTAAACAAAAAATAATGTTGCTTGCATCTGCCCTATGCCTTTAACTGATCATAAAGCTATATGCATATCTGTTAATATCTCTTCTGGTCCTACACTTGCCACTCGTTCGAGCTATTGGAATATTAATTGCTCTATACTACAAAATGAAGAAGATAAAAAAAAAGATTAAGGATATGATTTCATTCTCCTGGTCTAAAGCGAACAATGAAAACTCTTTTGGGCTTAACTGGGAACTTCTCAAATATGAGGTGGGAAAATATTTAAGAAAGAGTGGTGCTCAAACAATAAAAGCCAGGAAAGCAGAGGAGTTGAAGATTGTCTCAAGTATAACTAACTTATCCAGCAAAGACCCTGATTCCCTAACAGAGGAGGAAAAAGAAGAACTAGCTTACTAACAAATTAAACTTGATGAATTATATCAGCAAAAAGCAAAGGGTGCTTTCATAAGGTCTCGCTCTATGTGGTTAGAAGAGGGGGAACAAAACTCTCATTATTTCTTTAATTTAGAGAAACATCGCTCCACCAACAACAATATTAGCAAATTAAATAGTAATGGAGCTATTACTGAAGATCAGCATAAAATAGCAGACTTTTGCTCAAATTTTTATAAAGATCTGTATAGCTCTAAATTTAGCCAAATTGCAGCAGATAATTTCTTAAATTCCTTTTCGGTTAAAATAATAAGTGAAGCAGATAGAGAGTCCTGTGACAGGCCCATATCTCCTCAAGAAGTACAGCAAGCTATAAACCAACTCAAAAACAACAGATCTCCAGGGTCTGATGGACTGACATCTGAATTTGATAAACTCTTTGTTACTGATCTGACTCCTTTTTACATAAAGTCTTTGTAGAATGTGTTAATAATGAATTTCTGACACAGGGAATTACTGTTTCAATTCCCAAAATCAAACAACGACAAATTACTTTTAGACAATTGGCGTCTGATTTGCCTACTGAATAACGATTATAAAATAATAGCTCTCTTATTGGCTGCAAGATTAAGGTCAGTACTGGACTCTATCATAGAAGAAACACAGTCAGGTTTTATGAATAAGAGGCATATAGCAAATAATGTTAGGCTAGTCTTAGACATTTTGGATTATCCAGAGATGGTGGAGGACGGTGGGCTCATGCTGTTTGTAGATTTCTACAAAGCATTTGACACTGTTGAGCATCCATTCATTTTACAATCCCTTAAGAAAAGCATCAAAAGTCTATACAACAAAAGTAATAGCTCAATTAAACTAACGGGTGGTATGTCTCCCAGATTTAACGTGTCTAGTGTTGTTTCTTAAATAGCGATGATGTGAAGGTAATGAAGAAGTCTCAGATGACACCATCTTGCTTGCATAAAGAAAGATTTATTAAAAGAAGAACAGCATCTATCAAGCATCTAGAATGCTTGAGAGAGAGTTCGAAGCCAATATGAACTGCTCTGAATAACGGCTCAATTTACCCTGCATATAAAGGTAGGTTGTTTTGATGAACTTTGAAACAAAATGTGACAAATGACAGAGAGACAATCTAGATGGAATCCAACCTTTCATCTTACTTATCTATCCTTGACCTAAGCCATAATAAAATCTTGACCTGGGCCCCTAACTGATCATATAAGACCCCAGACATCACATAACATGTGGCACGTCAGATACTACACTAGCCTCTCTAACTCCGCTAGGACGCTGACGTCCTCGCTCCCACCCGTCCTCTGTTAAATGGTATCTCACAGCCGCACTACGTCATCAAACCATGAGATGATTGGTATTGCCGGATTCAGGAAGCTCTCGACTTTTCAAAAATAACATCGTTTTTCTTTTATTTCTTATGAATTTTGCACCAGCCTAAACACACAAAGTCCAAATTGCGATGAATGCTGACAAGGCATGTCGTGCCATTTTTCAACGGGAAAAGTTAAAGGATTATTCGAGCCGCTAGTGGGGACTTAGATCTTTTATAAAAGGTAAGAGTCTCACTCCTACCACTATTTTTGGCTGAGATATACCATCTAGAAAGTAGGATCATAACTTTCACGTTTAATATGGCTTTATTTGGTGATATTTTATGGTGTTTCTGTGTCATAAACAACATCAGCTATCATAATCACACCTGATTTCAACAAGGTACAATGTTAGAAGTTGGCTGAGTGTTGTTTTGAAGCAGAGTGACCGCTCTTGTCTTTTGAAGCTCCACGTGGATCTTTTCACGGAAAAAACACTGTAGAATGGTCATACTTTGAGCAATCTTCTTCAAATTTGAAACAAATGTTTCAAGGGTGCTTACAGCCCCACGGTGTCATTTACCTGCTCAGATGAAGCCACAGACAGTTATTCATCCTGAAAAATATTTTTTATTTTATTTTAGGCAAAATCTTCAACTTTTTACTGACTTCAGAGGCCCATTACTCTGTCTCTGTATCACCTAGAGTGTTTCTGACACGTTCACAAGAAACTTCAGGGATTTTCTTTCTGGCAAGACCGTATGCATGCATGTAGTCAGATCGGTACAGAGGCTAAAGTCATTTTAATTTGGGTATGTCATTTTAGGTGTTTTCGTTACAAAACAAGTGGAGTGCAAGAGGCTAGAGGCATTAGACAGACCTCTTGGTGGCTCAGCTTTTGGCTGATCACATCAGATCAAGTGAGGTAAATGGCATCAATATTTTAGGCAGATAACTTATTATTACTCATCTGGCGGATGACCCCACACTCTTTCTTAGGGATGAAAATCAAGTCTCTATTGCAATAAATACTACAAATGAGTTTTCCAGGGCCTCTGGCTTAAGTTTGAATCTTAATAAATGTGAAATTATGTCAATTAAGGATTGTTCTAAATCATCTAATTGTAGTATCCCAGTCAAAAATGAAGTTGTTTACTTAGGCATTACAAATACCAAGGACCAACAAAAAAGAACTTCATTAAATTTCAATCCTATTATCCAAAGAACTAAAAAAAAGCTAAATCAGTGGCTATTACGGGATCTCTCTTTTAGAGTTCTACTCAGGCAGAAGGAGTATCACACTTAACATATGCATCTCTATCTCTGAATGTGGACATCAAACTTATTACTAAGATTGACAATCTGCTTTTCAATTTCTTGTGGAAAAACAGAACTCATCATCCGATGAAATCTGTTCTAATGAATGACTATGAAAATGGTGGACTAAATTTTCTAGATTTCTGCACCTTAAATAATACATTTAAGATTAACTGGCTGAAACTTTAAAAAAAAAAAAAAATCCTAACTCTATCTGGAATGTCATACCCTTCCATATTCTATCAAAACTGGGTGGGTTAAACTTTTTCTTAGCCTGTAACTACAATATTGACAAAATCCCAATAAAAATATCATCCTTTCACTGCCAGGCCTTCCTTTCATGGTCTCTCATTTTCAAACATAACTTTTCACCCCATAAATATTTTATATGGAACAACAAGGACATACTGTTTAAACACAAATCCCTTTTTATTGAATACTGGTTTAATAATAACATTGTGTATGTAAGACAAATTATTTAACAGGGATGGTCTTCTCTACTCTTATGATGAATTTCTAGCAGAATACAATGTTCCTGTGTCACCTGGAGCAATCCCTTCTGGTATTTGCATGTTATTAAGATCTCAACCAAGAGTGGAAACCCAACAACTATCCCTGTTATCCTTGACTGATACTCCAATTGGTAAAAACTGTTTGTCCTGGTAAAACCAATAAATTGATTAGAGTCCTGTTTAAAAGGGATGTCATTACAGTTCCGTATGCTGTCTCACACTGGAATAAATACATGGAACATATTGACTGGAGAAAGGTCTGGCTCTTACCCAACCCATACCTGTTGACCAACAAAGTTAGAGAAATTTCGTTTAAAATAATTCATAGATGTTATCCATCTAATGATCATATTGTTAAAAGATTTAAAAGAGACATAGATGTGAAATGCACTTTTGTTCTGTAAATATTGAAACTGTTACTCATTTAAAAAGCCTCTGGAGCGATATTTGTAATTTTATTGCTAACAATATTGAAAAAGAATTTAAGCTGTTTTGGAGGGATGTACTGTTTGGACTCTTTGACTTTAACAGAAATACGGCAAAACCCAATGAAACATTTATTATTAATCTCATCATACTTTTGGCAAGATTTCACATTCACAAATGTAAGTTTACACATAGAAAACCTTCTTTTGTTGCTTTCTACAGTGAGGTCAAGCAGTACATCGATTCCATTAAATTTTCCCTTAATCAAAAGGCAATCAAAACCATTAATATTTGTGATCATTTTAATATTTTCTTGTAAACTCTTATCCCCCCTGGCATATGTGATATATGACATATATGTGTAATGTTGAAGATTTGCATTCTGTAAACTTCTTACATGTTAAATAAAGTTTTGAAAAAATAAAATAAAATAAAAACGTCAATTTGATTGAAAACATCAACTTGACACCACACTAAAACTTTTAATTGACAACAGACTGGAACAAAAATTTGACAACAGGCTAAATCACCGTGACGCACTAAAACATCAGATTCACAACGGGCTCAAAGATCAAATTCATGACACACTAAAAAAATCATCTTGAGGACAGACTAAAACATCAACTCAACACCATACTAAAAGTTTTAATTGACGACACACTAAAAGATCAAATTAACACCACATTAAAATATTAATTTAACAAAACACTAAAATATCAAACTGATGACACACTAATACATCAACTTGACAACACACTAAAACATAAACTTGATGACCCACTATAACATCGAATAGACAACAGGCTAAAACTTCCAACTGACAACACAATAAAACATCCAGTTGACATCCCTCTGAGTTGGTGAAGATGTTCTCTAAATGCTTGCATGTGTCATTAAATTGATGTTTTGTGTGCCATCAAGTTGGTGAAGATTTTTCTTCATTTGGATGAGTTATTTTAATTTGCAATGGCCACTGTACTATTCCATCTCTGCCACATCCCAAATGTGTTATGTCATAAGGTACATGCTCTTATTATACTGTTTTTTATGGTATGAGTGACTTCAAGGAAGAGGGTCTTACCTGGGAAAGGCCAAGGTGGACCGACGCTGTTTCAGAGATGTACATGATTTTGCCATCAGAGGCAACAACAAACACAAAGCCATCCAGAGTCTGGGGGAGCAGTGACAAAGTAGTTACTGTTAAACACAAGTAAGTAATGAGTTATGAGTTTAATGAGTTTTTACAGTGTTGTGTGTGAATAGCTTTGCCATTATGATGTAAAAGTGGATGGTGCCAGTATTCTTAAAATTTTCAGCACTGCCTCCTAACAACTTTGTTGTTATGCAGCCATTAGCAATTTAATAAGTATAGACATTTGTGTTATTTACCCTTGACTTACTTTTATTAAGCCCCTTAGTTTTTTATTTTTATTAAGAAAAACACCTGGGAGTTTATGTGTGTTTATGTGAAAGAATAAATAAATAAAATTGGTGAAAATAGGGTATAAATGAATACTGTAAAAATCCCAGTAAAAATATATCATTCCAAGTGTGAACACTTAAATAAAAAATCAGTAGCCCATTTGTATTTCTCCCACTTGATGAATGAAATCAATAAATGTTTAATTTATTTGTCCTTTTACTTTCTGTTGATGAATGAATGAGACCATGTTTAATCTTAACTGCAGTGAACGCTCTCCTTTCTGTTTTCAGTGCATGGCAACATGATAGACAGGGAAAATCTGTATATCAGTACCATATCTACCTATTTCTTATTAAATATTTTCAGTGAAGATTGGTTAAATTAAAGGCCTTGAGCGTTGACTTAATAAACTAAACTGAAAAATAAGGGCAGTGAACATTTTGCAGATATTTTAATAATTCTAATATATTTTATATTATCATATTATATATTTGGCTGATCTCTTGCATCATTCATGACTCAACAGGCTATAGAGAAGGAACATAATTCAGTGCTTATATTGGAATAAATCTGTCATTAAACTAAACTAATCTAAATTTAAGGGCACACATTGTGTGTGAATTAATTATTTGATGGTACATTAACTATTTTTTTAAATGAAATTTAGCATTAAATGTGCAGAAATTTTCAAAAGTTAAGCCTAATACATGCCCTGACTAAATGGTCCTTTTATGGACAGGAATTTTGAGGCCAAGCAGAACTGGAAACTCTTATCCAGTGACTTTCTGTCTTAACTAGACCACATACTGTACCTCTGAGCAGCTGCACATTTTTCAGTAGGCCTATTGTGCTTGACACAAATTGATTACCACCAATTGATTACCGTTCATTTAAAAGTGACAATACTGAGAAATACATAACAGAAGTCAACATTTATCTATCATGTCACGCTGGAGAGTACTGGCCCAGTCTAAGCATTTGACTATCATTTTTCTTTGTAGATAATTGTTTCATAGCTGTTATAAATGTCTCTCTTTTTTTAGTGTTTAATAACCATGACTGATACTGTTTGGTGATCAATTCACTTATTTGAGAGAGAGCCAGAGAAACACCATTGTACATCTAAATGTGGCAGCTTTGTCACATGGAGGTATGTTTTTACATGTATTTTTAAATGTGTCTTTTATATTTCTCAATCACACCGTGATCTGTGGAGAACTGTGTCTTGCTCTCATGTGTGCTGAGTGTGAATAGGAGTTACAAATAAACATGATTGTGATACTGAAAGTAAAATAAACAAAGGTGAGTGGAAATGGTTGGAAAAGAGAAAAAGTATGAGCAGAAGAGCTGACAGAAGCAGTACATATAGCCTTTTTAAACTTAAATTTACATGTACTGTGTAATAATAATTTCATCAGCAGTAATAGTTTTTAACAGTCTCGCCAGCATGAGAAAAATAGTACTAGAATGAATATTTAAAGTAGGTTAGCAGAAGGCCACGCTGGTGAAAACAGTCGTGAAAATATTTAAGGTGCAGCTGTTAGTCAAGTGATATGAAAAAAGAAAATGAGTGAGAGTCTGGCGCAACTGTGGCGCATTAAGGCACGGGTGGGGGGGTCAGAAAGAAACTGTGTTTTAGGGGCTTCCGTCTCTTTTAAACACAGAGCTGTCCCCGCCATGACGCAATAACAGTTTAGATATCTTATCGAGAGTTTTCCTCAGAGGACGCTCTGTACTGCGCAGGGTCGAGGGGTCTCATAATAGATACAGCTAGTTCCTCGAATATCCTGCCAAGGATTTGTCTGAATTCACCTTTCTGGACATGTTGAACACCCGACCGTCATCATGTGTAATAGTGCGCAGTTTTACAATGTCAGTGATCTATAGGCCTAGAAAAACGATCTGCTGCTGGGTAGCTACCACCACAATGCTATAAGTAGAAGGAAAGTAAAATTGAAAATGTGGCATAAATCGCTCTGTTTTACATTCTGTCTCACTGACATTAATGTCATTATCGGAATAAAACAATAAGAAGAGCAATGGAAAGACGAGCAAAACATGTTTCGTGATTTCTAAGACGTTGGGCTGTTACATCAATTAAAGTGAACAGGCGGAGGCAGACCGCGCAACGCGCACCCAGGTTGCAGCCAGAGGTGGGTAGAGTAGCCAAATATTGTACTCAAGTAAGAGTACTGATACTTTAGAACAATATTACTCAAGTAAAAGTAAAAAGTAGTCATCCAAATAATTACTTGAGTAAGAGTAAAAGAGTATTTGGTGAAAAAACTACTCAAGTACTGAGTAACTGTTGAGTAACGTCTGATTTATTTGTAAAATAAGAACATGAACGTAATCAATCAATCAAAAATAATAATCTGCAAATTCATGTATTTTAAACGATACCCCTTTAACTAAAACAAAAATAAATTAAATCTTTACAAACATAACATAAATCAAGGCACAAGAAACACAAATATGTTCTTACATATACTGTACATATATATATATATATATATATATATATATATATGTAATTATGTACTTAGAGGTGGGTAGAGTAGCCAAATATTGTACTCAAGTAAGAGTGTTGTTGCTTTAAAACAATATAACTCAAGTAAAAGTAAAAAGTACTTTGCATTAAAACTACTCTGAAAAGTACAATTTATCCAAAAAGTTACTCAAGTTAATGTAACTGAGTAAATGTAACTAGTTACTACCCACCCCTGGTTGCAGCATGCAGCTGGATTGGCATCGTCACACGCTCTACCGCGCCTCTCCTCTGAATGACGAGCACGAGTCACCAAGATACCAAACCAGCGCAAGTGAGGAATCAACTTCAGAGCAGCCCAGGAAAGGCAGAGCTGTGTTCCTCATAATGCACCGACACCACAATAGAGCCCACAGTGTACATCCTAACCAGTTGAGTTACCCGCAGCAGATCAAGGGTCTCATTTAAAAAACGTAGCGTAGGATCCATATTAGAAATGTATGCACAGACAAAAGCCAAAAATGGCGTAGCTACACCACAAAATATTTGACCATTTCTACAATGAGGCTTCCACCTGACCATCTGCGTCACCAGTTTCCCATCTCCAAAATGTTCGTGAGCATGAGTCAAAGTTTCTCCCATCAAGTCTGCTTTTATAAATCACAACTTTTGCGTGGGAAATGGCGTATGCCACTTTCAGGCCTCGTTTTGTGCATATGCAATGTTTATAAATGAGACCCCAGAACTCTGCAGTATACCTGATTTTAATATGCATTATAGTAGGCTATTTCTCTTTTCCACTGCAGAAACTTGATGTAGCAGAAGGTGTATCCATTGAAGGTTCTGCTTTTGTTTCCATTAAGTAGTTCAACACAATGCCATGGATACATTTTCAGGAAAATTTGTAATATCAGCAGCGCTTCTTATATCATGACCTCCCTGCTGCATATTAATGAAAATACAATGAAAAAGTAATGAAGAGCATGGTACCAAACCTCAAAAGGTTTGTACAGGTTAGGGTTGTAGAAAGCCCTATGTTGGTTCCTGCAGTGAGGGATGTATGACCTTTTTAGTATGAACAAGCTCTATTTTAATGCTTTAAAAAAATCAGCATACAATAGAGTAGAAACAGAATACTTTGCAGCTGCTATCATTAAAATCTAGAGAATTTTAAGGGACTTGAACGTGAGTATTTCCTTTTAATGCTACTTTACTTCTAACCCTCTACATCTCAGAGGGAAACATTGTACTTTTTACTCCACTACAGTTATTTGTCTAATTTAGTTGTCTAATTTAGTTGCTGTGAAAACTTAGATTATTAATACAAAAATATAATCAACTAATAAATTATGAAGTATAATTTTAGATAAAACTACACAGCAGGATATAAAGCATTTAAAATGAGCTCCACCTTTACCAGCTGCAACATTGAAGTGATTACTGATGCACTCTCTCTGTTGCACCTAATCACAACAAAATGTGCTGCTTGAATGACACAGAGGACCCAAAGCGTTGTTTTAAATTCAACATCATATTATTTTTGAGGGCTTTAATGCATGAACGAAATGAAACATCATAAGATCTGGGGCTTTTTAAAAAATTATTATTAGGCCCATTCTTATTTATTTATTTTTTTTTAAAAATTAGAATTAAATAAAATTTAGATCTGGGGCTATTCATAAAACATTCAGGGCGGATGCCTTGGGTGCCCAGGCCTAACAACACCACTGGTCTGCACAAAAAACAGCACTCCCTGATGAAGCACACACAGAAGCCCAGAGTCACTAATGTGTTGTAAAAGGCAAATTTCAAATGTAATTGCGGGCACAATACAATGTGATTTTGTGTAAGGCCAATATTCGGTCTACAAGCTACCTGCTGCTAATTGCTGATTCCCACTCTAATGCTGCAAAGCAAAGCATCGTTTAAAACACAGTAAGCATACAGTGATATAGTTTGGTTTAGAGCAGCAGTTTCAGTCATCAGTCATCCCATAGAATAGTGAAACACTACAGTAGTCTGGAAGAGCAAACTGCAGTGCGAGAATGAGTGTAGTGTTTCCTGTGTTTCCTGTACTGACTTGTAAAAGGTGGGAACCCAGTTCTTTGGCCATGCTGTCCAGAGGACTGAACCTTGTTGACTGACCCCATCCATCACCCAGACCTACAGAGAGAGAGACAGACATGGTAAGACAGTCAGGGAGACGATGCCTGACACTCCATCTATCATCAAAAAGAAAAATACTCAGAGAGGTAAAGACACAGTCACTGGGCTTTCACACCAAACATGCAAGTTTGACACTGTGCAGATCGAGGGCATTATTTCCAGAAGAGAGAGCATCTGTTTGAGCACTGCTATCATTTTCCACAAAGCCACCCCAGTAAGATTCTGGCATTGACAATGGTAAGAAACTATAACAACATTTTTGTGCATCTTCGACCTTCCAGAGTTATGTAGTTCTGCTCTCTGATACAACCAAGACCTGGCAAGAAATATTAAAAAGAAAGAAAAAGAAAATAAAAATAAATATACCAAAGAGGATGTGGTACCAGGCTGGGAATGTTATAATCATCTACATATATTGAAATTCATTTATCAAATTTTCACAATAAAAATCAAATAATAAACAAATAAACAACAATTATTCCCAGGCCACAGACATTACGCACGCACACACACACATACACACACACTATCAAAAGATTAAAAAAAAAGAAAAGAAAATTGGAGGGTTGACCTGTTTTGAAAATACAAGACAAAGTTGCCAGATCTTTCTCTTTTTTTTTTTTTTTTTTTAATTATTTGATTCTTGGATTCTTTGATACTAAGAGCAGTGCGCTTTAGTTGTTTGTTGGAGCACTGGTAAGAAGGTGGTGTAGCCTTATCCTATTTGTGCAGAATCAATCATAAAGCAAGCAGTTTAGAGAGGGACACAACTGCAGCTTGGTTAGCTGTGTTTTTTAAGTCCTCAGGGACAACCCCAAATATGTGCTGTCAGAGCACATGGTATTTTAGTATTTTAGTTTAACTCAACTTTATCCAGTTTCTGGTCTATGTCATAAACCACACCTTGCTGCTCAGAGAGTACATTTAAATGTGCACCACTGTCACTTTTATAATTCATTAGGGATATGATGTGAAACATAAAAAATGACTGATATCCCTTATCCAAGTTCCTGTGTCTTTGAATCCTCCACAAAGGACAGTGTGTCATTTCTGTACTAATTTGTGGGTTTTGTTAGCACCTGTCATAAAGACTTGAACACGTTTTATGATGCCAATAGTATTTATTCTAAGTCTATTTACAGTATAAACACCAAGCCTACAATAATAAAGCCATGGGTATTCAAATTAATAAAGCCATGGGTATGTTAGAGACAAATAGCAGAGAAAAAAACCCTTCCTTTTTTTGGTTTCCTGTAATATTTTGTACAATTATTCTATCGTACTTTGTATAGACAAGAATTTTAGGATGTAGATGCTTACAAATCTTACCATTTTTTTCTTGTCCTCAGTTTATTAACTACATGACTCTAGTTGAGGGCACACCCATGCACATACACACTCAGTATCCCACTTATAATCATATGTGTGATGATCATATACAGGATGTTTGAATAGAATGTAAACAGGTTAATCTAGTTATGTCTCTAAGTCTTGCACAGCAGCGTGAGCAAATAAACTACAAAGCAGGCCACTGTTTCAATCAGTGATATATATGACAGCAAGACAGTAAGTAGTCTGTCTGCAGACTCTCCGCAGCAGAGAAATATGAGGCAGTAACTTATTCAGATAGGAATATTCTGGTATATTTCAACCTACTGTATTTCCCATAAATGTGGCCACTGTGGTCATGCTAACTTTGTACTCTTTACCTCTGATTCTGGGCAACAAGTCCTTGCAAAAGCAAGGGGATGTCACCTTTCTTGTGACTCTGACTGATGTTTGTCATTGTAGTGGCTCTGCTCTCTTCTACCTTGCCTGGGGTCTCATTTATAAAACAGTGTGTAGGATCCATACTAAAAATGTATGTATGTACAAAAGCAAAAAATGGCGTGTGCCAAAAAAAATTCAATAATTTCTACAATTAGGCCTCCACCTTACCATCTGCATCGCCAATTTTCCATCTCCAAAATGTTCGTGAGCATGGATCAAAGTTTCTCTCATCAAGACTGTATTTATAGATCACAACTTTTATGAGGTAGGTCGCGTATGCCTCATTCAGTCTTGGTTTTGTGCGTAATCAGTTTATCAAGAAGACCCCTGGTTCCCTGTTCTACTGGCCTCTCCAGGGGCTGAGGGCTGACAAGTAAAGCTACAATTGCTGTTTTCATATGTCAGCATGTACTGGATATATTGGCACCAAATGTTTTACAAGCATTCTTGGTTCCCAGAGGATGTATCCTTTTAACTTTGGTGATCCCTGACTAGGGCCATCATGAGGTGCGTGTGTGGTTTTAGCATGCCATGATATTTGGTTTACACATTCATGTCCCCTAAGGAATTCTATTAATGTTGGTGAACCCTTCACTTTTAATCTTGCGCCATCATCAGGTCAAAACATCCCTTTGTCTAATACACTGGTTTATGAAATAAAATACCTACAAAATGACATTCTCGTCAGCCTCAGTGATGCAGTGAGTTTACTGCTATTGAAGAAATATTAGCGATGTAACATGCTAAACTAAGGCGGTTAACGCTGTAAATATTATACCAGGTTAACATGAGCATGTTAGCAGTCATTGTGAACATGTTTACCAGCTGACTGACGTCTGCATTTAGTTTGAAACACAGCTGTACTGTTCAGCTCACAGGGCTGCTTGAATGACTGGACACTCTCAGTCTTATTCTACACATGACTTTCTATCCAACTCCACTGTGTTGGGTTGGGAGTAGAGATGTCTGAACCTGGACAACTGAAACCAAAACTATCTGCATGAAATACAAGTAGAGGGAAGTGAGAATTCATGCTTTAATTTTTTGTTGTTGCGTAGTTTTGTTGAATTGACCACCTTATTAACCCACACTGACACTACACTGTTTGGGCTTGCTGACAGAGAGGCCTCCAACAAAACACCCAAACATGCAAGCAAGCTAATCTTTTTGCTTCGTCCAAGTCAGTGACACTACTGCCTACTGCTGGTGTAAAAAAAGATCAGGCAGATTGGAGATGATCAGCTCTTTCATGGCAACTTAGAATTACAAATGATGCCACTTTTACTGTTTAGACAGCAGGGACCATCTTATGTTCATTACATCCAACCCTATTACCATACAGAACATTGCTAGTGGACTGTTCTGCAACATTCCCAATTATGTTCAATGGCATTTGAATTGTTTTACAATATCTGTGTATGATATCTATGGTACAGTTAATGTAAAGGAAAGACCATGGTTGTCAAGTGTCGTGTCGGTGCAAGCTTTCCCACACTTGAAAGGGAAGGGCCTCACACTCTTTGAAACCAGACACTGGACTTCACTCAGTGCACTTAATTTTATGATGATTATTTTTATGATTTGCATGATGAGCACAGGTGAAAAACCTTTGATAAAACAAAAAACACCCAAAATTAGAATAGATTACCAGCTCAGTGGCCTTGTGGTAGAGTGTCCGCCCTGAGACTGCGAGGTCGTGGGTTCAATCCCCGGCTGGGTCATACCAAAGACTATAAAAATGGGACCCATTGCCTCCCTGCTTGGCACTCAGCATCAGGGGTTGGAATTGGGGGGTTAGATCACCACATGATTCCCGAGCGCGGCACCGCTGCTGCTCACCGCTCCCTCAGGGGATGGGTCAAATGCGGAGAACAAATTTCACACACTCAGGTGTGTGACAATCAGTGGAACTTTACCTTTACCTTTAGATTATAACAGCACACAAAGGCACAGCACTGCCAAATATCACATATAAACTATAGACACACCCGCCACTTTAACTTTCACAAATGTCAGCAAAAAGGATTTTAGCAGTAGCTTCAAATGAAATGACATTAAATTTAGACTCACTAATTATTCCTATTTTAGATTTTTAACTAAATTAAATGTCTTAAGTTACATGTTTTAACAGGTTTTACAGCACACAGTTTAACAGTTTTTTACAGCACACAGTTTTTTACAGTTCACAGTTTAACAGTTTTTTTTTACAATTCACAGTTTACTGATATTTCACACTTTTACTCAAAGGCTTGTACCTGATTTCTGTCTGCTTACCAAATAATTAACTAATAATCTATTTTAATATATCCTTTTAACTGAAATATTTTAATAGTGCATTTCCATGAATCACATCACTCCGCACGCTAATACAACTACCTGGGTCACAGATTACAAATAGCAAAGCAAACTTTATGCCACATATGCCACATAATGTCTATGACTAAATTAAACAAGTGACCCAGCAAACAAAGAATTCAACTAACAGGCTCAAACACCGCCAGGTCTTGAAACCAGAGAGGCAAGCATCAATCCCGAACGCTTACCGGCAGTTCTTTCAGAGTATTAGAGTCCTTTTCCTTGCCCGTTCCTCCATAAAGCGTCCGTTGACTCCCGGCGTGCACACACAATGCTGACCTGCCCCACTCCCCAGCTCAGGTGATTACTCATCTGCCTCCCCTGTGGAGCCTCACACACAGCGGACAGGCTTGGCGTGGGTGAGCGATTGCCGGCGGCGGCATACGTGTGCGTGCCCCGCTGCACACACAGTGGGACAATCAGTCTCCGTCTGAGGAGCAGGAGCGGAATGCGCTTGGAGCCGCCTTTGACTCACCGCAACACCTCCCACTCGATCTTTCCCTGGGTCCTAGGGAAGATCACACAACCTCCAGGTTACTCCAGGCGAGCCCAAGGTTGTAGCGTCAGTGGTCTTGCTTGTCCTAGTCTTCTATTGGAAGGAGGACAACAAGGCTTCTGACATCTCTATGCAGCACAGTACCTCTCCTGTCGCTGGATGCTGAGCCTTTGACAGCTGGTCTTGAGCTGTTGGCCGGAACACAATGGCTTGGAGAGACTTGAACATTGACATCTCTTACGATACCTTTCGAGTCAGGATTCACGCTGATGACTCTCCCAAGCTTTAACTGTCCTCTCAGCGCATTTTGGTCACACAGCCAGACTATGTCTCCAATGGCGACATTTCTTTCTGTGGTGTGCCATTTGCCTTGCAC